TTATCACAGCATTTTTAGGTATAGATTGCAAAGTGCTTTGGTAAAGGTAAGTGGTGTAACCCCTGCTTGATGATTAGGAAACAGAAGGGAGAGAGCCAGGTCAGCAGAAAAAGCTGTGAATCACATCACTGCCTCTGTCGTCCTCCTCTGATGACTGCTTTCCCTTCCCCCAAATATTTGTATAATTGTGCTTATTAACTGCCCAGCTTGGGAAGACTGATTGCCTGCTTGATGGTGTATAGAAAACCCCCACCATATCAGCATGTAGAGCACCTAGCCATGTCCTAGCCTGGTTATAAGCTGTGTCAGACCTGACCTGCCAGCCCAGAGGTGCAACCTTTGAGGACCAGAGGCCGCCTCGGGTATCCTGAGACAATGCATGTTCCTGCAAATGAGTGAGGACATTTTCCTCAGCCTGGGAAGTAGTGCAAAGGGACTGTGGTGCTGGAGGACGGTCTGTAAAGTGAGGTGCCTAGTAAGTGTATGGGCTTGCTGTGGTCACCTAGTGTCTTTGCTAGCCTCTCCACCCTAAGAGGCACATGATGTCCCCCGAGTACTGTCCAGGTGCCAGCACGGATCATCACCCACTGAACCTCCTGGAGCTCCTCCGGGATACAGTGGGATGCCCTCAGCGGTGTGGGAGAGGGTGTCTCTGTGCCATCAGAGAGTGGATGCCTTCTGTCCCTGCACTGCCTGCAGGACCCTGCCCGAGCACCACGGCAGCGTTCAGTGCCTGCACACATTCTTCACACGGGTTGCATGTCCTCACAAGGGCTGGGAGACCAGGCTGGCTTAAAAAAAATAAAAAGAGGGTTGTACCCATGACTTGTTGCCAGTGAAAATTGAAAGCCTTAGTAGCATATGTAGGGCCAATTACAGTACATCAAGGTATGATATCCTCTTTACTGGCACCCTCCAGGGAGCCAGGAGACATTGTTGGCAACAGGATTATGGTTTGCAGATGACATGCACGATAACTTCACCTAGACACATGCACCTGTTTTCCCCACTAAGCAGATGTTCAGGAGGCTGTTAAGAGAACATGAGCCTCTTAATGCAGCAGAAAATGCCATGTAACTGTGCCTGTTCACATCGCTGCGCCCACCGCCTCCATTGCTTGACAAGAGGGCTGGAGCAGCCTTGCCCTGACACACCGAATCCCCAGCCCCTGGGGCAAACTGGATCAACTTGGCATTTGAAGGCCAAGCCCTTTCCTGGCTCTCTGCCCAGGCAAATCCCCAAGCCAGGAAAGGGAGTTTCTCCTGTGTCAGGAGGGTGAGGTTTGACTGGCCCAGTGCCGGGGGTGTCAGTCTTGCAATCTCACTCATGCACTAGCAGCTACAATCATTTCCATGTCATGCAGGCATCTTTAAACATGACCTGGCAAGCTACATGGGGTATACATAGTGAGACCCGCTTTGCGCTGGAGTAGATTTACCACCAGGATGGAAAGAGGTGAACTCCCTGGCGTTGTATGGTACCATCACCCTGGACCACTAACTTCAGGATTTGGTTTTGTTTTTTTTTTCCTTTTAAATTGTTTTTCCCCAAATGCAAAATGAGCCTTTTGGATTAGTTTGCATGAATGGCGGCCGATGGTCACCGTTCCTCTGCTCCTGTGGGAGAGCAGAAGTGTGAGCAGCCTCACAAAGTTTCCTGTATCTCAACCAGACTGTGGGCAGAGATCTCTGCCCTGCATGAGCAAGCAAACCAGCCTGCAGCCTGAAAGTGAAGCTGCCCCAAGGTAACTTGTGTGCCACAGTGTTTCCAACTCAGCAGTTTTCAGCCTGTGGTCTGTGAAAGCCGTGAATCATTTGTATAGAATCTGCAAAAGGTAATGAGGAAGAAGTAGGTGCACATTTACTATGCAGGAGCCGGCGCCTGGATGGGGACGCATTTGGTGTTCACAGATTGGAAAAGACTGAGAATGTCCTCACTAATTCTGTGGGAGGGAAACAAAACCTGCACTTACATCTTCCATGGTGTTGCGTCCGTTAGGAAAATAAGTCATGTTAGATGAGTTCCTTGGCAGGGGTGTCATTATATATCACCGATACCTCTAATCTACTCGAAACTTTGCGCACGGTGTTATGAACCTGTGTGAGCACGTGCAGTCTAGCAAAGGGAAGACGTGTAATTCCCTGCCAGGGCCTGCTGCTCCCAGTGGTAGCAGCAGTAGAGGTGATCATCTCATCAAGATTTGGGGGACTCTGTGCATGCATGGGCACATTCCTGAATGCTGGCCGCAATGGCTGCCAGGGAGGGCTTGGAGGGCTGGGGTGTGTGCCTGGAGTTTAAGATCTCATTTTTGCTGGAATAAGATTTCTTTGCCATCACCCTCATCCCCACAAAAGAAGACATCTTCCCAAGTGTCAGTGGAAGCAGGAGGAGCTGCACGGAGACCATGCAAGAGCCCTTGGATGACCTCAGGGGTCCATGCTGTTTGTACACAGTGAGAATTGCCATGATTATGATCGAGGAGCAATCCCTCACTGCTTCAGTGAAATACGTCTGTCACATACAAGGTGCAGGTCTGTTGTCCTGAACACCGGGCTTAAAATTACTCCATATCCATCCTCCTCATTTTCATCTCCTGGAGGTGCCGCAACGTGGGAAGAGCACTGGGAGGAATGCTTGGATCTCAGCAGCTCTGGTCTGTGCATACCCTGCCTCACTCTCTGTGTGTGTTGATATTGAGCAACTCTGCCACATGCAGCATGTGTATATACTGCATTTTAATAGATATAGGGCTACTGACTTTAACATACACAGTTGCTATAGTAACAGAGGTTTCCTTAGTAACGGTTGCAGAAAATAATCCAGTACCAATTAAAAATAAACTGTTTGGAAAGGGGGCTGGGGGAGAAAGGAAACTGCTGAGAATCACCTTCCCCTTTATTGGTTCATCTCCCAGGGACTCGGAAGATGGATTAATACTTGAAATAACATTTCTTAACCAACAGTGAGACAAAAAGGTGGGATGAGTGTGGATGGGGTGGCTAAGGCTGCTCTCCTGAAGTGAAACAAAGGGAAAGGAGTGTGTCTGGGGTACAGCAGAAATACAACAGGGTGATGCTAAATCTCTCCATTAGGTTGAAGTCCCCAGGGAGGAAAAACAAGGGACTATTCCCCTCCCTCCACTGTCTGCATGCCATACTGGTAACAGCCATCGAGTCTTTATTAGCATACTGATTAAAGCCACGGGCAATCCAGGCTCCAGGGGATTGTCCAGTGCGTTAACCAGGCTGCCTATCTTGGATGCTGTGTTAGAGCAGAAAGTGTCGCTGTGGTGGGAGTTTCTCCTCCCTCCCATTTGATGTTGTTTGCTTGTACCCACGCTCTCCCGTGGCCCCATCACTCATCGCTTGTGCGGACAGGCATCTGAGACCCTGGGGTCCAAGGGAAGCCGGAAGCACAGCGTGATGGAAAGCGAAGAGCCCGTGCCTTGGTGAGACAGAGGAGACAACGGTGCTTCCTCACAAACACAGGATGCGTGGGATGGGTTTCCAGGATGCAGATGGGCACAGCTCCCCTGGCAGCCTTCAGCTGTTCGTGCCTGTGCTGCCATACTTCTGTCATGCCACTCGTGCCCCGGGGTGCTCGCTACGTTTTTTTAAGAGATTTACCAGTTCTCAGCAGAATCGCTTCTCCTGGTGGCAAGACAGCCCTTTCAGAGGGGAGCTGCCACGCAAGGCAGCGGGAGAGGTTGGGATGGGCTAGGCTGGTGCAGGACTCTGGTACCCACCTTCTGCCTCTTGGCTGCTGAAAACCCACCGGTTGTCAGGAGACCCTTTATAAGCCATGCCTGAGCCGCAGTGCTTGCCATCGCAGGGTGCACCAAGAAGGGGCTCTGCGTAGAGGGGTGCTGGGGGAACCTGCTGCCTGCCAGACTTCTTTGCACGCTGCCCCTGTTCTTGGGGACCTCGCACCCGTTCTCCTGACTGTGCTGTGACATCCTGGGTAATGTGCTGTGCTTCATGCTCAGCCAAGGGCTCATCCCTTTGGGTTGTCAGATCTGGGCATCCTGCGTCCTCGCATTGGAGGAGGTGGTGGCAGTTTAAGTGCACAGCGTGGCGCGTCCGGCTGGGAGCTGCTCCTCTCCTGGGAGGAGCAGGGCTCCTGGGCATGCCAAGCACACGTGTCATGAGGGTGCTTCGTGTCCTGCCCTGCATGGGGAATGCCTTGGGTCAAGGCTCAGGTGACAGGCACAGCCTGAGCACACACAGCGGAGGCTTTATCTCCTCCTCCTGCGCGGAGACAGGGTTCAGAAACTGGTGTGTGTCTCTCCCTGCAGGGACCAGAGCTGTGTGACCCTTTAGCTACCCGCATGGGAACTGCAGTCACGCTTGGGAAGTTGAGGGAGGTGACGTGCCTGTGATTTGTCCGGGCTGTGCGGTCTGTGGTCGACCTGGAGCCAGAGCTCCTGACTGCTGGAGCAGAGCTTGCTCCCTGCAGGTCCTTTCCAGTCTGGTGCTCTTTCTTCTTTTCCAGTCGTGCCTGTGTTTGCTGCCCTAGCTGTTGCATGTCTGTGGGTTACATGTCACTGAGATGGCTGGCATGGGCCAGCAGTAGCGTCTTGTTTAATTCACTCTTCCTGGAAATCATTTTCTCTGGAACTGGTCAACAGCTCATTGCCCTGAGGTGCAAGTGGTATGATTTCACCATGAAAAAGCCCACTGACTTTGGGTGTAGTCTTCTTGCTAGGTTAGGTCCCTTAGACCATGGTGAATTAAGAAGGGGAATCTTTTCAAGGGCAAACTGTGAAAAAGCAGCTTCTTGCTGAAAGACACAGTGGGAGAATCCAGGAGTAGTGAAAGAAGAGAGAAGGTTTGGTAGGAGAACGTCTAAAATGCCTTTGTCTTAAAGATCCTGTGCAAGTGGGACTCGGGCAAGAGCAGCCATGCCTGCAGTTGTGGGAGGACTCTCACCCAAACCAGGTGAGTTTCTTTTCTATGTTAATGATCAACCTTTCCTCATCCTTCTCCGTTCCTCCCTCACAGTGACCAAGCTGCAGGTGAGCAAGTCAAAGCGGAGCATCACTCTGGTGGAGAACCGGCCCATCCCCCTCAACTGTTCAGTGAAATCCCAGACCAGCCCTGATTCGCACTTCGCCGTGCTGTGGTACGTCCACAAGCCCTCCGATGCCGACGGCAAGCTCATCCTGAAGACCACCCACAGCTCGGCCTTCGAGTACGGCACCTACGCAGAGGAAGAGGGGCTGCGGGGCCGGCTGCAGTTCGAGCGCTCGGCGTCAGGGGGGCTCTTCAGCCTGACGGTGCAGCGGGCAGAGGTCCGAGACAGCGGCAGCTACTACTGCCATGTGGAGGAGTGGCTGCTCAGCCCCAACCATGCCTGGTACAAGCTGGCGGAGGAGGTATCTGGGCGGACGGAGGTCACCGTCAAGCAGCCAGGTACCACATGGCATGCCGGTGAGGTCCTCTCGGCATCGGCTCTTGTGCATGGCTCGTGAGCTTGCCAACATTTTCTGGGGCAAGAGGGATCCTCTGCTCTTCTTTCCACTACAGGCTTGTCACCCCCTCCTTGCATCCTCATGCCTGCACGTCCCTGCGCAGAGGGACATTTTCCCCCTCTGATGTGACCCTCCTCCGTTTAGGCTGGCTTGGCATGCATGTCAGTGTCCCCACATGAAGGTTGTCCATCCCCCACAATCTGGAGGGCCGCTGTATCCATCCAGGTTTCCTTATCCTCAAGAGCATCATGTAGCGTGAGCGTCGACTAGCGACCTGCTGAGAGAGAACTGGTGTGTGCCTGCCTGGGAAAGCATTTTTATGTTTTGCACACAGTTTAATTTTACTGTGCACCTGTGTCCTGGCAGGCGCGGGGAGCCTTGTCTCTTTTCCCTCTGCGCTGTGCACATGAGATGCGAGTGACGAGTTTAATGAAGTGGGGAGCTGGCTGCCAAGGAAAGGAGAAATCTGCTCTGCTGGTGGTTTCCATGGCAGTGGACATCACTGGTAAAGGTGGGCTGATGGAGGAGCTAAAGATGGCCCCCACAAGCTGGGGACAGAGCCCTCATTTTGTGCAAAGCGGGGAGGCAGGGAGGCACGCACCATCTCTAAGAGCAGCTTGGACCTCATGTATGCTGCTGAGGCAGAGTGTCAGTACGAGGAAGCCTGCCTTGTCCCCACTTGCTCTGGGTGCCTGTTTCTGGAGGATAAAATCCCTGAGGCAGGAGGGACACACCAGGACAGCAGGGCTGGACTAGGATGCTTAATGCATTTTCTCTGTATGGGTTTGGCTGGCCAGACGCAGGCTCTATAGACAGTGGTGCGAGAGGGATATTGAGTACGGTCCCTGGCACAGCTTTGCCTGGGAGTGCAGCAGGCCACAGTGTGCCGCTCGCTGCCGGTCCCAGCTCCTCGTTCCTGTTGGCAAAGCCTCAAGATGGCTGTGGGGCGGTCAGGGAGGGGGGAGCTGTGGTTTGCTCCCTCCTTTGCATCGCCTGCCTCTCTCTGGGAAGTACGGTGCCCTGCCACTTGCTGCAGCGGCCGTACCAGGGAAGTCCAGACTGTGCCCCTGGAAAGAAGTCGTGAAGGAATTAGGAGTGTACGACACGTCATTTCAAATAAAAGAGCTGATTGCAGTCACCACCCGTGTATCAATGAAATCGTGGAGCAAAAATCAGGGGCATTCCCAAGGCAGCAAAGCACCCTGTGTGACTTTACCCTCTTGCCACTTCTTGTTTTGTAGTGGTGGTTCCCTGTAATCAGCCGTCTGTTCTCCAGGCCTTGCTTTTCTCCCTTTTCCCACTGCAGGAGGGCTTACTAGTCGGGGTGTGGCCAGGCTACTGCCCTGACCAGGAGGAGGATGAGAAAAGATACAGGTGTGATGTCCCTTCACAAGGTGTCTGTGTACTTAGGACCCCCCAGGTCCTACTGGGAGATTGTGGGTTTCCAGTTCCCTCTGCTGAAAGTGGCATTGTTGGTGGCTAGCCTGAGATTTTTAGAAGACTCTAAAAACAAGAAATCCTGTTTTCTTTTCCTCCTCTCCCCCCCGCCCCATCTTTTTTTTGCCTCCCCTTCCTCATTTCTTTCATCACACCCCAGAACTGTGGCCATGTGGGAAAGGCTTGTGGGGAGACAATGGACCCTTGCAGCCCTTGGTCATCTTGCGTTTCTAATGGCCTTTTCCCATAGATAACCGTCTGCAGGTGAACCAGACCCACAAGAACATCACAGTGCTGGAGAACCAGTGGGTGACCCTAGAGTGCCTGGTCAGCAGCCGGACCAGTCCCTCGTCCCAGCTCTCAGTGGAGTGGTACGTCTGGCGGCCAGGCCACCCAGAGAAGGAGGTAGTGGCCTGGCTGAGCCGGCAGAGCACCCTGCGCTACGGGAACCTGGCAGCGCTGGGTGACCTGCGGAGCCGGCTGCACCTGGAGAGCCCATCCCAGGGTCTCTACCTCCTCTCCATCCAAAATGCCACTGTGCGGGACAGCGGGACCTATGACTGCCGCGTGGAGGAGTGGCTCCTCGACCCCAGTGACCGCTGGTACAAGCGGGCAGAGGACCTCTCTGGACTCATCACCCTCACCGTCAAGCAACCAGGTGAGGAAGATCTTGTGCCAACAGCTTTGAGCAGCGCTTTGCCCTCTTGGACCACACACGAGTCACCATCTGTCTGTCATCAACAGCAGGTCCAGGCAGCGGGCAGGACCGCTGCGCTACAGACCGTGCTGATGCTTTTGTGCACATGTTCTCAGGTTCACTTTTGCTTTTCTGGAAGGGGCATAGAGCAAGTCCTGCAAACACAGCTAGATGGGCTTGGAATTTTGTCACCACTCCATCTGCACTGCATTTTTTTACAGCACTTTTGGCCAATTCAATAGGATAGGCTTCCAATTTTTATTCACATTTTGATTGAGGATGAGATGGGAGAAGCTATCTGTGTTTCCCAAGCCTGTGCCCCAGGGGCAAGGTCCTTGCATGAAAAGAGGGCAGCAGAGGAGGTTGAGACCCTTGCTGCTGTCCAGGCAGTTTGTCACGCTGCTGCTCCCCATTCTGTGAGTGAGGAAGCAGATGTAGGGTGTGCAGCTCCAAGGGTTTTTCTGTCGGTTGGGATGAGGGCTCAGACTTCTTCATGAGGCAGGAGCTGGCTATGAGGAGCCTGCCTTTATGTGGACAAGGGGGTACTTACGGGCTTCCTGGCCACCCTCTTGCTGGTGAACAGTGGTTCAGGCGGATCCTGCTGCCTAACACCACTTTGTTTTTTGTTCCCTTTGTGAACCCATGTTGACTGTGCCTCATGATTGTCATTATTCTTTAAATGCCTTTCAGTAGTATGCAATATGATCTCCCTAATTTTTCCAGGAACTGAGGTTAGACTAACAGGTCTGTCATGTCCTGGGTCTTCCTTCATGCCCTTCTTGTAAATTGGAATAACACTGGCTACCTTCCAGTCAGTGAGAAACTCCCCAGGCTCCCAAAGCCTTTGGATGATGATCAAGAGGGGTCCTGCCATAACATCCGCTAGCTCCTTCAGTACTCTGGGATGAATCCCATCAGGCCCTGTGGAATTGAGAACATTCAGCTTGATAGAGTTGGTCTCTGACAATTTCAGTGTCCACAAATAGAAAGTCACTGTTTCCACACTTACGGTCCTCCCAACTCAGGGGACTGGACAGCCCAAGGTCTTTCGGTGTTATTAAAGACTGAGGCAAAAAAAGCATTGAATGCCTCTGCTTTTTCTTCATCCCTATTAGTCAGGTGACCATCTTCAACAAGCATCAGTCCAATGTTGTCTTTAGACCTCCTCTTGCTATTAACATACTTAAAAAAGCCCTTCTTGTTAGCTGACACAACACTGGCCAGTTTCAACTCTAATTGAGCTTTTGTGTCTTCTCCCTGCATATATGAACCACAGCTCTGTAATCTTCCTGCAAAGCCTGACCTTGCTTCCAGAGATCATGCAATTTCTTTTTCCTCTTGAGCTCCACAAGGAGTTCCCTGTTCAGCCAAGCTGCTCTTCCACCCTGCTTTCTTGACTTAGGACACAGTGGAATTACCTGCTGCTGTGCTTCTAAAAGGTGGTTCTCAAAGACTGACCAGCACTCATGGACTCCAAAGCCCTGAAACACAGGTTCCCAGGGTACTCTGCTATGTTTTGTGTGTTTTAACAACAGGTAAGCTGCAAGGACAATTTCCCTTGGAAAATATGGCTTCCCTAGCTTTTGAGGCAGATGACTCAAGATTACATGTCTGTTTTAAAGGCTGTAAGTCAAATAACAATTACGGTCCTCATATGCTGGGTACTTGCCAGCATGTAAAGCAGCAACCACTCTGCAAATACTGCTGTGGTGCTTTATGCCTGCCCGTTCCAGCAAGGTGTCAGCCTCATAACTGTGCAATGGAGCTGGCAGAAGGGTAAGATTCTGGAAAGGTTTTAGTGGTCATTCTTGGCAGACAAGGTTTGTACTGCAAAGGAAGAGCTCTCTTAGGGGACAGCACAGCCCTTATCTGCCAGGTCCTGGCTTGGGAAACTTTGCTGGCCAAGATGGCTTGAGCAGAGCCCTCCCCAGGCAATCCCTGTACGCTGCATGCCTGCATGGTTGTAAGTGCAGCTCTTCATCCTGAGAATTGCCAGCCCTTATGGAGGGGAGAATGAACGGCAGGGAAATCTTTGAGGCTCATTTGGAATTGCAGAAGGATGTGGACTGGGAAGAAGAGAGGGAGTTGAGTGTGCACTAATTCAAGATTTTTTTTTTCTAGATGTGCTTTATTGCTGGTTTTTTGTTTTTCCTTCGTAGCAGCCAGTACTTAACAAAATGACTAAACTTGCTTGTGACTCATGTCTCATTAGTGAGCATCTCCATGCTCATCTTTCAGGACTATAATGAGCAAAGTGGGGAAAAAAACCTCTCGGCACCTTCAGACAGCAGTTCTCCTCTTTCTGCTTAACCAGCTGAGGTGGGGGAAGCATTGTGTTGGTTTTGACAAGCCTTTTCCTTCCATTCCTCCTTTTTACCTCAGTAGTCCCCAGAATCTCAGGACTTACCTCATTCCTGTTTCTGCTCAGGAGTCTTCCTGGGGAAGAAGTGAACTGAAAACACTCGTTGCCTACAGCCTGAAGAGCTCTGGCCTTAATGAAGATTTTCCTTATGGGACCATTTAAAAAGTGTCAGGCAGGTGTTATAACGAGAAGCCCCGCTGGGCACAGCAGCCCCGCGGCTGATGAGGGCTGGGGGACAGCAGTCCCCTCCTGCAGGGACGCCCAGAGTCTGCGCAAGGGAGGGCTTGCCCGGCTATCTTCACTGGAGGAGAATTTGGTGAGCTATCGGCTTGCCCTTCCTGCTCAGCTCCCGCATCGGAAAGAGCTTTTTAATCTTTAAATGAAAGCTTAGGTCCAGACTGATTGCGATCCCTGGAGTGTGTGCTCCCTGGCAAAATGACTGAACCAAATGTTAATTGCTCTTCAAGTCAGTCTTTAATCAACTCATCTTGGGTTCTGGCCACTGTATCTCAGTTAGATGTTTGTAACGTCTCTTTAGCCTTGCAGCAAGCACTAGAGAAAAAAAAATGAGAGGGGGAGACTTTTGGAAGTGTCCTTGCAGTGTCTGTGCTGAGGACATCTCCATGGAGGAACCTCTTACCTAAATAACTTCCCAAATTGCTGGAAAAAATCCTCTCTTCTTCTGTCATACTGATCTTCAAGTCCTCTGAGCACTTTCAAAGAAATAAAAAATAAGCATGGAGTGCAATGCTCTTTGCACCAGTAGCTGGGGAGTAGTAGTACATTGCTCCTCAGCACATGCACCAAACCTCGGTATTTCGTGACATGTTCTTGTAGAGCGTCTGGATGAGCTGCAGCAGCTTTCTGTTCTCCGCACGCATGCCCGTTAGCTGGTGCGAGGGCCTGCGTGGGCAGGGTGGTAGCACAGCACTCACAGCCAGCTCCTGTCTGACCCTGCAGCAGACGGTGTGCGGTGAGGTGAGGGTGCTGCACCTGCAGGGTTGACCACAGACGTACCTGTGGGACTTGGCAAGTTGCGTCAAGCCTTTGGGTTTTGCTTGGATTGTGCCCAGCATCGGAGTCGTGACAGTTTGCACCAGGGCAGGGTGGCTTTGACGATAGCATTTTGCTGAGCCCTCATCTCTTGCCTTTTGTCATCTCAGATCCCACCTTGCAGGTGGACACGGCCACTGCCAACCTCACGGTGCAGGAGAAGGAGTCCTTCCCGCTGGACTGCAGCATCCTCTCCCGCTCCAGCCCGGAGTCCCACTTTGCGGTGACGTGGTACAACCTGCGGGCCAAAGAGGCGGGCAGCCGTGTGGAGGAGGATGAGGAGGATGAGGAGAGGGAGGTGGTGCTGAGCGTGGGCCCCGATGCCATCTTCAGCCCTGAGGCTGGTCGCTGGGAGGGCCGCCTGCGCTTCCAGAGGCTCTCGGCGGTGCTCTTCCGGCTGACGGTGCTGCAGGCCGGCGGTGCCGACACGGGCAACTACTCGTGCCGCGTGGAGGAGTGGCTGGCGGACCCCAATGGCATGTGGTACCGGCTGGCAGAGGAGGAGTCGGGGATGGTCGCTGTTCATGTGCAGGATGCAGGTGAGAAGAGGCTGGTCACTTCTTTGGGGCATGGCCCTGGCATCCCCTCTGTCTTTGGTTCAGCCAAGATAAAAAGGGCAAAGAATGAGCGAGACTGGATCTTGCCTGCACCGGGGCAAATCTGTGGTGCCAGTGCTTTTCCAGTCAGCCTGGTGGCTTGTAGCCCAGCTCTTGGCTGGGCTTGCACATCCGCACTGCGCTTAGCTCTGTGCTAGGGCTGCCCATCCCACAGCACTTGCTGCCTGGTGTGTCCCAGGTCAGTGGGGGTGGACATTGACCCCCACTGGGGTTTAGCCTTTCCCTTTGGGAAATACCCTGGAAGTTGGCTTAGCTCTGCACAAGGGCACAGGCTGTGGCACAAAGGGACTCCTCCCAATAATTCTTGAAGCCATCGGATGATCTAGAGACCCCCAAGATCACTGAGGTCAGGACAGTTTTGTGGGCCCTTAAGGGAGATACTCTGGGTGCTGCCTTTGTGTAACACCACTGAGGGAGACGATGCTTTACCAGTCTCCCTGCTTTGTAAGATACCAGAAAATCCACACCAGGGAGGACTGTCTAGCACTCATGAAACTCTTTGGGGGAATAAAGCCAAAACATGCCCTGCAATAGCTTTTTTCTGCTGCTCTGTTTACCAATATTGGTATTTTTCTCAGAGCCTCACTTCTTGCATTGACACAGATTAATGAGCATCTGGTTTTTATGTTTTTGAAGAAGTTTGTAGGCCATGCGTTGCAGAGAAGCTCTGAAATGTGACTGTCTTGTGTCTCTTTCCAGGCTCCACCCTGCAGTCTGTCATCTGCTCCAACGACGCCCTCTTCTACTTTGTGTTCTTCTACCCCTTCCCCATCTTTGGCATCTTGATCATCACCATCCTCCTGGTGCGGTTCAAGAGCCGAAACTCCAGCAAGAACTCAGAGGGCAAGAATGGGGTCCCCTTGTTATGGATCAAAGAGCCTCACCTCAACTACTCTCCCACTTGCCTAGAGCCGCCAGTCCTCAGCATCCACCCGGGAACCATAGACTAAAGAGGCAGAGGTGCCTGGGGGGGACATGTGGAGAGAGAAAGCAGAGACACACGGGAATGCTAAGGAACAGAGTGGGTTTTGTTGTTCTTGTTTCATTTGTTTCAGTGTCCGTGCTCCAGCGCAGCAGCTGAGCTCTGTGGAGTGCCCAGCCGGCGGGGACAGGAAGGTCTGAGGCTTTCTCCAGTGCCTGTGGGAGAAAACCCCATCACCCCGACGGATGCGGGTCCCTGTGCTCGCTGTACATAGCAGATGTTCCTCTCGGATTAATTTTGCTCCCATCAAATTGATGTCCTTTGGGCCATTACTTTTTTGTTGTAATTTCTTTTTTGGTCACTCTTAAGAACCGTAGGCTTCTCCCACCTTCCACACAGCGAGGAGTTCCCAGGGGGCTTTTGGTCCTGGGACGATCTCTTTGGAAGTAAATGTGTATGTTTTCCAAAACAGACTGTGGTTTTCCTCCTTAGCATCAGTGCCACAGTGAAGAAGGTCTTTTCGCAAGGGGTGCTGAGCATTCTCCTCCCTCTTGTAAAGTAGACAAAGCCAGGCCCACCTCTGGAGGAGGTTAGCTGGGCTGTTGGGAGGTTCATCTCAAAGACTGGCTGTAGCCTCAGCATCTTCTTGCCTCCATCTTACTGTTCTCTCAGGAGGGGGCAATTCCCTCTTTTGGGAGTGTTCCCCCATCTTGGAGAGACTGAATATTGAGTGCACTTGCAGTCAGGACAAAAGCAATTTAGATAGTTTCCAGGAACTGAAGTGGGGGATGGAAGGAGGACACCTGAAAACCCTGACTTTGTTGGTAGCAAAGAGGGTCCTCATATGGTCCAGATTACCAGAGTCATGCTCCTTCCTGGTGTCCATGCTGCCACCTCTGACGAGGCGGGTCCCCTCTGTGTCCCAGTCGCCTGGGGACAGGTGGCTGGATCCAGTCTCTGAAGACTTCAACATCACCAAAGTAATGACTCTAGAAAGGGGGAAAGGTGAAGCTCCATGAGTTGGGTTCATGGCCCCTGGGTGGTTCAGCCAAGGAGCCCAGTTGCAGCCACGCCACGCAGCGGGGACATGCAGTTAATCACCACATGTCATGAGTTTCCCTGTGGCTTGCGCTACTTCCTGGCATGAGTTTGGACAAGGCAAGGAGCCTGCACCACATGGGTGCCCTGGGGGCTTCTCTGCCCCCTGGGCCCAAGGGAAATATTCCCCTGCCAGTTTTTGTTCCTGGGGCTTGAGGAGGAGAAATCATTCCTCTGTGAGCTCCCCCTCCTGGCAAAGTCACCTGCTCTTGTCGTAGGCAGTTGCTGTGGCAGGAAATGCTGTTCTTTCTGTGAAAGATATGGCTCTTGTGAACCAAACCAGGGTGCTCTCCATGTGAGGCACCTGAGCTCCTGTACCCTGTAATGCCAAGGACCCCTGCCCTGTCCTGTGGAGGAAGCCGCCTCCTCCCCCATACGCCTGAAGCATTATGTCCGTCGGAAGAAAATGTTTGCCAAAAATGGCCTTTTGTTGTCTTCCTTGATGTCTTCCTGGCAAATCCGGCCATTTATTTTTTGCAGCATGGCTGAAGCCAAGCAGGATGGATGGGTGCAGCTGTGAGACGCTGCCGCCTCGTGCGTGAGAGGTGCCATACCCACAGCTGCTGTCCTCTTCAAGAGGGTTGGACTGCTCTTTGTGAAGAGAAGGGGACCTCAGCAGATGCTCTGTAGCACTGGTCAGTTAGACCCGGATGCCTTGATGTTTCAGAGGTGGTGAAGCCTTGGGTGGGAGATCTGCACCACGCATCCTTCCTCCCAGCTGGGAAAGGACCCACGTGGCTGCGGACTGTTCCATGCCCGTGTATTTGAAGTCAGCCACCTCTGCTCCTCCATCAGAATGGCATTGGTTTCTTCTGCTGGGAAGCCCAAATTTCACTCATCCCTCTGTGAAGTCTGCCTCCTCGAGACGTAACTGCTTACTGGCCTCAGCATATGCATAATATCACACTCCCCTCTCTCTATATATATGTTTCACACACCCACACACCTGTCTTCCCTTTCTGGATAAGGCATCTGCAAAGAGAGGAGTGGGATGAGAAGTGAATGGAAATGAAGAACCAAGGCGCAAACAGCAGCAAGTGCAGCCAGTGGGCATTGTTTCGTAAATGTAGTATCTCCTGTACATACTGCTCCCGGGCAGGAACTGTAACTCATTTCAGCTTTAAAGGAAAAAAGGAAAATGAAGTCAGCAGCAGCCATTCTCTCTTGGGAGAGCACTGTGCTGCGTCCGAGCCACGCTCCTCCTCGCCAGCCTGCCTGCCCTCGAGCAGGGCTCTCCTGGAGGGCTGCCCCGTGGCCCTGGCCCCCTGGCCAAAACAGGTCCCTTCCCAGCCCGGTGGTTCTTGCACCAAGCCCAAGCTTTCCAGGGAAGCGGCTCCCACGGTGGTCCCTGAATGTACCTGGCCGGTGACATTTCTCTGTTGCTCTGGCAGTGTGTTGCCCAGTCTCAAACTTCTCTCTGGTTTTATAAGGCAGACTCTTCCTGTAACAACTTTTAACATGAAGCTTTTCAAACCACTCTCTCTGCTGTAACTTTCTGTAAACAAGCCCAAGAAGAAAGAGAGACACCCTATCCATGCATGATGTGGAAATATGTTTGGGGTTTTTAAAAAAAAAAAAAAAAAAAACAACAACAACAAAAACTTTGTACTATGTTGCACTAAAACATGTTTTATACAACACACCTGAGAGCTGTAGTAAACTGTGTCCAAATTGTGATTCCTATTGCTGCTGGTTTTTGTCAGATTTGGGCTTTCATTTCGCCTTTATGCACACTCCCTACATAAAGGTGTGCTGAATTCCTGAGCCTGCACCCCCTTTTAGTCAGCCTCTCCCTCTCCCACCACCCCCGTTCCCTGATGCACCAGCTCTCCTCCCGCCCCAGTAGCACATCTCCTTTCTCTTGCAGGCTGGAGCTTGCAGACACCTTGCACCCTCTGGGTCTTTGTACTTCTCCCTCCCATCCCTTAATTCATCCCATAATAGAATATAACATTTAACAGAAGCATATCAGGTCTGTTTATTGAATGGGATACAACATTTTTGAAATGGCTCTGAAAATAGTAAGTACGTACTTTGCTGTGTCATAGTCTGGATTTGAAGAAAAAAAACGTATTTCTTAGTAGAATTATCCATACCAAATGTTAAGCAAATAATTTTTAGTAACCTTGATGTAAGCAGAATATAGGTCATTACAGAAGTTGCTTAAGTTGATGTAAAATGGAACCTCTTAATTCTCATTACCCACTTTTACCTTGAATAGGGATTTGGTCAGTAGTCTTGAACTCTCACATTAACTGGAGTAGGGAAGTAGCGTGATACAGTCTTTCTTACCTATAGAGCAAAAATGCTGTGAAATTGTGTAAAATGCACTGCTGACGCAGCTGTAAGGTTGGGTTTGGGGTTTTTTCCACATTCATTTAAAACAAAAAATACCCTCTGCTAAAATAATTTTATGAGAAAACTCTGTTGTCCCCAGACACAACTGGCTGTTTGTGCCCTCCGCCCCGCTCCCCCCAGTAGCTTGCCCTGGGCTGCGTCCCCTGTAGGCTGTGTGCTAAGGAGCAGGGGCTGTAGCCCTACAGCTGCTCAGTGCTATACGGCACGTAGTGTCCCCAGCACTCCCCGCTGACAGTTAGAGGGTGGCAAGGTCCTTGGGTAAGCTGTCGCGGGTTTGCTGGGAGGCATCTCTGCCAGCCCATGTGCGCTCCCTGTGGTCAGGCGTGCGTCCCTGGCCCCCTCTGGCATGCTCATATGGGCAGGACCCTGGTGTGGGACAGCTTGTGTGGGATTTTGCCGCCCGTCCTGCTGCTGGAGCATCGCTAGCAATGCTGCAGCGGGTGCTCCTGCTCCCCTTGAGGACCAGACGATGTGCAGCCGCCATGCTGCGGAGGAGGGACATCTCAGGGGCCCAGCTGCTCCAGGAACAGACGCGCCATTACATGCTCCCATCAAACCCCCTTGTGACTGCTTTCCCCCACCCACTGCCCACAAGCCCAAGCTGCTAGCTCTGCAATGGCCTCCCCGCTGAAGCCAACACAGCCAACACAGGCTTATGCTCATGTCCTTTGATCCAGCAGGTTTGCAAACAGAGTTTGCAAAACCTTTGAGTCGAGCAAGGGGTGGCAGGTGGGGCAAGCGTGGCCCCCGCCTAGGCAATGTGGTACAAGTCCTTGGCCACCTGCTCCAGGCGGTCCCTGTACTCCAGGTGGGCGTAGAGCGAGGCCCTGACCCCCTGGAAGCCACGCATGGCCCCCCACCAGCAGGCCGCAATGGCAGCAGTGGAGTCGCTGTCACCCCCGTGGAAGAAGGCCCGGTGAGCCAGCTCTGCCCAGGAGTCGCCCGCACCCAGCAGCGCGTCGTACGCGATCATGGGGGCGTCGTGCCCGCTGCTCCCCCCCCAGCCGTCATAGCTGAGGGAGGTGTAGAACGAGTCTCTCTCTTCCACACCATACCTGGGGGGGAAGGTGGGCGGCGAGACCCCATCCGATATGCCTCTCTCCACCAGGTATTTTTCCCATTGCTTTTCAAAGTAGTGCCTGCAAAACAAGAGATGGGATGGAGGACTCTAAGAGACGTCCCACAGCAGAAGTGTACAGCTGAGCTGAAAATGTGCCGCGTCAAGAGCCCAGAGCAATGGCTCTGCAAAATGGTAGGCATCCCTCGTTTGTCAAACTAGGGACATGATTTACAGTAAGAGGCACAAGGACATGTTTCAGTGAGTTAGATTTCCCCTCCCTCCAGCCACATGGGAGAAGGCAGCCCAGCACCTGCTGCTGTCATGCTGCACAGGATTCAAAGGCTCAGCGCGAGAACTGAGTCATCCTCCCAAATTCAGAGTACCTCTACCCCTGTCTGTGTGTGCCCCTGCACACAGAGCCGCACTGAATCTGCAGCCAGATTTGGTTACAACTTTCAAACTGAGCTCAGCCCTAAGCCTGGTGCTGTTCCCCAGCCCTGCTTCTCACCTTT